TTCCGAGGAATACATTTTCCCTCGGAATGGCCGTCAGAATTGCGGTGTTTTCTTGTAGTGTTCGCTCCTTGCAGCGTCATCGACAATGAGTGGTAAAATTTGCAAGGCGTGGTTGACGCAATACAATTTCCTCACTTGAATTTCAACCTCCCAAATAACACATGTTAACGTCTCTTTGAAATGTCACAATTAAATCAAATCAGTGTTCTAAAAATCGGTCTAGATGGCACGTCGGGTGAATAAACCAAACGATTTTTTCCTACCAGATTTTTTTAAAGATCGGTCTAGATGTTTAAGAAATAGGTTTAGGTGCACCCCTGAACAATAATCCTCTATAAAACCAACTGATTTTTTCAAACCAGTTTTTTTTTTAAAATTGGTTTAGGTGTTCGAAAAATAGGTTTATGCGCCCACCTAAACAATAATCCTCTATAAAACTCCTGCCTAAATAATAATCTTCTATAAAACGCTAACACTGTCTAGAGGTTTTTAGAACACTGAATCAAACAAATGAAGAAGGTGCAAACCAATCAACCTATTGTGTAGTTCCAGTCACAGGATCCTTAGGGATAACAACGTAACCAATCACATCAACAAGCGACTCTCCACTCAACTGCTTAAGAAACTTAACCATGCCAACACTCACATTATTCTCCTTCGATACACTAACCACACACTGAACTATAAATCCACTCTGCCTCACGATCAGAAACCCTATTTTACCAGAGCCTCGAATATGATGCAATCTCCCTCTGATCAAAACCTCCGTTCCCGCCATCGCTTCCACCAACTTGCTCACATGGGTCCACTCCTTCCCCTCCACAGTCTCTCTCCACTTCCCGGGTTTTTGCGTATATTTAAACCGATTTTTTGAACATCTAAATTAGTTATTTAGAAAACTAATTAAAATAAATTATTACGGTTTAAAGACGTTTAAGCCTAAACATTAAAATTGAATACATTTTAAGCCCACTACACCAAATTAGAAGCTTTAGTGCTGATATTAGAACATGCATGTATAAGATTATCTCCAATAGAGATCTATTTTTTCTTCTATTATTTATACTAAAATAGAATAACTCTATTATTGAGTAGATTTTGTTCCAATGGTCTATTCAGTTATAGAATAGATCACCGTAACAAAATCTACTCAATAATAAAGTTACTCTACTTTGGTATAAATAATAGAAAAAAAAATAGGTTCGCATCGGAGATGCCCTAAAGCACACTAAACCAAATTAGAAGCTTTCGAGTGTTTATAAACAGGTGACGACATAAAGTAATGTAGCGTGGACAAGAAAAGACATTTGCTCGTAGCTATCTAACACGGTCACATGTTAAAAAGCGCGTGCGCATCAATATCTCTCGGAGAGAGTGTGGCTCGGAAGAAGTCCCAACGAATTTTTTTTTGTTCTGTCCCTTGCCAGCAAAGAACGGACCAAAACTAAAATAAAATACTCAAAAATAAATAAATAAAATGGGAATGTGGAAAAAGTAAATGGGAAGCAACGACGACTGAAGTCATCTCCCTCCGTTCTCCACCTCTGAAGTTGATCGGAACTAAGGTTTTTGATTACTTTCTGTGTTGAAAGGTTTTGATTCCTCCCTGAAGTCAAGAAGATTCGTGTTTCTTACATGTCTTCCAGCTCAAATCTTCTGTCTTTAGGACCTATGAAGCTTTAGGTAAGACAGGACTTCTTCTTCTAGCTTTAAACCATCATGTAATCATTGGATCTGTGTCTACCTTCTTGAGTTTGTGAAAAAAAAAATGAAACTTCTTTGTGCTAGTTTCTGAGTTAGATCACAATCTGTGCCCTTCTTTAGATGAAGTTTTGATTTTTTTTCTTTTTTTGCAATTCTGAATATACTAATTGAAGTACTTGCTTTGTAACGGTGAGATAATATAAACGTTTTACCTTAATTCACAAAAAAAAAAGTTTCATTCTTTTAGTAACATCAACGTTTCTATATAAGGCTGAGAACTACATAAAGTCAACAATTTTTCATTTCTTCTTCTAGCTTCTTGCTTTGCTCTTAGAGGCAACATTTTTATTCTTTACCGCAATGAAAAAGAAGACCTTTATGTCATGATAGTGATGGTTGATCTGTCAAGAAAAAACCTTATTACAACCATTTGTTTGTTACCGTGACAGAAGTCTAAATTATGTTTTTTATTTTGTTATAGGTTCATGTTGAAGTGATTTGAAGACATACCACATACCACGAGACTAGAAAAGATTCTTGAGGGACCAAAGTTCGATATGCTCGCTGTTAACAACCACAACAATTACGATGCATTCACCCAAGACTTTTACCAAAAGCTCGGTGAAGAAGGTACAAACATGTCCACGGACAGTATGCAAACAAGTAACGCAGGAGGCTCCGTATCAATGTCTGTAGACAACAGCAGCGTTGGTTCTAGTGACGCTCTTATCAACCACCCTGGTTTAAAGCCTATGCGTCATCCTTACTCTCTCTCCGTTGGACAAAGCGTGTTTCGTCCCGGGAGAGTCACGCATGCGCTTAACGATGATGCATTAGCACAAGCGTTGATGGATGGTAACTACCCAACTCAGGGACTTGCTAACTATGAAGAGTGGACTATAGATTTGAGGAAGCTTCACATGGGTCCAGCTTTTGCGCAAGGAGCGTTTGGTAAGTTATACAGAGGGACTTATAAAGGAGAAGATGTAGCGATTAAGTTGCTAGAGAGGCCAGAGAATAGCCCTGAGAAGGCACAAGCTCTAGAACAGCAGTTTCAGCAGGAGGTTTCTATGCTGGCCTTTCTGAAACACTCGAACATTGTTAGGTTTATTGGCGCGTGTGTTAAACCGATGGTGTGGTGCATTGTGACTGAATATGCGAAAGGAGGTTCTGTGAGACAGTTTTTGACTAAGAGACAGAACCGAGCTGTGCCTTTGAAGCTGGCTGTTAAGCAGGCGTTGGATGTTGCTAGAGGTATGGCTTACGTCCATGAACGTAATTTTATACACAGGGATTTGAAGTCGGATAACCTCCTCATATCAGCTGATAGGTCTATCAAGATTGCTGATTTTGGTGTTGCGAGAATTGAAGTTCAAACTGAAGGGATGACACCTGAGACCGGGACTTACAGATGGATGGCACCGTAAGTTAGAATAGTTCATCTTTTATCTTGTTATTCTATAAACTAACTTACTTTATATGTGTATTGGTGCAGAGAGATGATCCAGCATAGACCTTACACTCAAAAAGTGGATGTCTATAGTTTTGGAATCGTGCTGTGGGAGTTGATAACGGGTCTGTTACCGTTTCAGAACATGACTGCGGTTCAAGCTGCGTTTGCTGTGGTGAACAGAGGAGTTCGTCCAACGGTCCCAGCTGATTGTCTCCCTGTGCTTGGTGAGATCATGACACGTTGCTGGGATGCGAACCCTGAAGTCCGTCCTTGTTTTGCAGAGGTTGTCACTCTTCTTGAGGCTGCTGAAACTGAGATAATGACTACTGCGAGAAAAGCACGTTTCAGATGTTGCATGACGCAGCCAATGACAATCGACTAGTCTGTTGTGTGGAGAAAGAGAGAGGAGAAGAAGAAATAACAAAGGAGAGAACTTAAAAGAAGAAAACAGTGTGAGGAAGCAAGAAGAGCTTAAGTTTGTGTGTGTGTCAATATATATAAAATGTCAGATTGTATCTCTTTTCCCAATATAGGAGAAGTAACCCAACCATTTTAGACTACTGATTTTCTAGATTTTGTATGTACTGTGACTGTCTGAAGTGTTTGGTTTAGTTTTCCTTGAATTCATGGTTCATTGCTATCAGAGTAGCATCTAATGTGTGATGAATCCAGTGGTGATGGATGCCTTATTCTATCTCTTCTACTCTTTTAAATTCAGGTGTCAATAAGTTCTCTGTTAAGCATTATGCCTGACATGAGAAATGATGATTATAAGTAAACGTTTCCTTTCTTTTTCTTTAATTACTGATCATTTAATAAACAAACTTCAAAAAGAAAAATACAAAAGTTACTTGTCAACAAAACTTTGGGTAGTGAATCCATCTAAAGAGACTCTGTAGAGTTCAAAAGAAGATAAAGATGAAAACATTAAGATTGAAAGTTGTCCAGAGCATCCTCTTCTTCGCCACTGGAACCTTGGATATAACCACCATCATTATCATCACTATCTTCATCATCACCACCATCACTTAGAATCTCCATAAAGTCACCTTCAAGGAACATACTTCCAGCATCATCATCAAAATCGCTTGCACTATTCACTTCATTGTCATCACTGCTAACGTCATCATCATCATCTCCACTGCCGCTATCGTCTCCAGCTAGTCCCAAAATCCGGTCCAAGTCATCTTCATCGTCTTCATCATCTTCATCTTCATCCTCTGTCTCACCATCATCATCAGGATCAGAGTCATCATCCGTTGGTTTCCGCCTGCCAATCTCATACAACCTGGCTGAGGAACACATGTCATCTTGATCTTCCATTGTGATCAGCCCAAGGAAAGAATCTGTTGGTTCTGTTGCAAAGTCGAGAAGACATCTGTCCACAGGTATAGTGGCAATGTCTGAATAGTTGATCGCGTCAAGAGTGCGGAAAGCAGCAAACAACGGATGTTTCGAACGGCGTGTGAGGACAGCAGACATCACGTCCTCAATGTTTCTCCTCAGCATTGCGTATATAACATCACCCCTTGAGTTGAACGTAATAGCTGTCTGGTCCAGTGATGGTACACTTCGAAGTAGCCTCATTTTCCTCAAATCCCACACCTCGGAGTTTATGATCACCTGTTATAAGCAAAAAGCATATCAACATAAGCCAAGACACACTGAGCTTTTTGAAGAACCACATAATATATGATTTAGCCATTACCTCGTTTCGAGAAGGATGAAAACCACCGCCGCCATAATCAGTAAACTGATCAAACCGGCTGACCTCAGTCGGAACACGGCGATCCCAGAGATGACCATTCCACAATATTAGTGTATCGCAAGGGCTGAAGTGTACAAGAGAATATGGACTACTCCGAGAAGAAGTAGATGTGTCAGTGAATTTATCCGAAGTAACGCAGGTCTTTACGTCATACAGAAGAACATCTTTTGTTGATCCTTCACATGAGAGCGCTGCAAAATATCTCCCAGAGTTGCTGAATTTTGCAGCCTTGCACCCATCAAAGGAGTGGTTAGACCCATTAGTTATATAAGAAGCGTTCCACAACTGCACATCACTGGAGCTAGAAGAAAGCAACAACTGAGTATCACCAGAGACATATGGCTGAACAAGTGTTACCGGAGCCTGGTGGCCTGAGGCACTCTCAAGCAAGCTTCCGCTGCTAGCGTCGAATATCTTGATTTCTCCAGCGTGACTACCGACTGCTAAATGATTAGTACCTCCAAGTAGTGAAATGCATGTAAAGAGAGCATTCTCATCTCGGTAAGATCTCCAAGATTTGAATCTGCTGAAAACGAATTGACGGTCCCTGCGACTCCCATGGACTCCACTGTAATAACTTTGAAGCTCACGGGTGCCAAGACGGCCAGTGATATTGAGTGGAGCTTCAAGTAATCGTTTAGGTTCAGGACAGACATGCGGATGGAGGAGAGACACAGGGGGAAGAGTTGTGATTGGAGCCAGACACTGCCTGTGTTGGTGTTTCAAATACTGAACAACAAGCGAGTCTAGTGATAACCGTTCTGGATTTGAAGGCTGGGGATCGCTTGGAAGCCTTAGCTGAGAAGCAGGTGTCATCAGGCCTAACTTGGAGCTCCCAGATTGGTTGACATCTAAAGCTGAAGCTGGTGTTTGGAAACCTGAAGCATCCGCAATGGTTGAACTCCTACGAACCGTGGTTCGACAAGCTGGAGATTGTGGTCCTAGCTCGCCCAAATTGATTCTTTTACCTGAAGCTGAAGCCTCTGTGTCTCTAAGCTCCGACAATTTCCGTTTTCTTGGAAAAGTAGGGGTCTTAAACTGAGAGTCGGCATCAGTGTCGCTCTTCAAAACTAATTCTGCAGCAGTTTCTGATGTATCTGCACAAGAAGGATCAGAATTTGAACTACTGTCTATTCTCTGCGTGGACTGAGGGTGCGCGTCCTGGGCGAAAGATTGATTTCGTGACTGCAAACTAAAGCTGGGTGAGAAAGTCAACTGTTTCTTCTTTGCAGATGGCTCTTCTTCATGAGTATTGACTTTGAGTTTACTGGGGAAGAAACCACCGTTAGCACGGCCAGAGGGCCACTGTTGCTGTGCTACTGGCGTGGACGTGGACGTCTCCTGTGTCGAGGCAGCCAGATGTTTCTTCTTAGCAGATATAGCCTCATTACATCTAGAATTAGGATCTTCATCTTGTGCACAGACTTTGGGTTTGGTGGTCAAAAATCCACCGTTAGCACGGCCAGAGGGCCACTGTTCCTGAACTACCGGCGTAGACACCTCTTGTGTAGCGGAATATGCAATCGAAGAAGGGGGAGCCAGGGAGGGTAGAGGACTCAACTGAGTCTCTTTCAACAGTGCTGAAGCAGTTTCACTAAGACCTGATGCTTGGAGGTGCTCATGGATAAGGAGCAAAAGCTCCTTAGAATCATATGTTATAGGTGTTGCTGCTGCAATGGCAGCTCTTTCAATCCGCCTCAAGGTTGGAGTAGCAGCATCACTGGCTGTCAGTGTATTCGCATGCCCTGAATTTGTCAATACCTGCAAACGCAAATAAACCACAACAGAGAAACAACTTTAAATACTAATGAAGCACACAAAAAATTTCATAGACACATTAAACAAGAATTATAAATCAGTTCAGATGGTTACACTTACCCCTATTAGTTCAAGGGCCACCTGAGTAAGTTCAGCATGCCATCTGACCTGATCAGTTCCACTTGATTGACCACCTGCATCTCGAATAAGTTCTGACAAACTCTTACCGACCTAGAAACCATATGCTTGGAAAGTAAGTACAGAAACAAACAAACAAAAGGACGAAGATAACTGGGGAAATAAATTTGCTACTCTACCTCAAGTTTAGTTAGTATTTGTGCAATTGTATCATCTCTAGCCAGACCAAGAAGTACCCTGCAAGCCAACGCTCGTAGACAATCTGTGGCAGCAGGGGGGTTCACATAAATTCTGGGCTGGAGAAGTTTTAACAGAATCTTTATACCATCATTCCCACGAACAGCTTCACGTGCTAGACGATAAACCTGCTCCAACTTAGCAGCAAGGCCAGCAGAACCAGTTCCTCCTCCTAAGAAAATTCTTCGATCCCCGACCAAACCTGAAGACGCAGGTGCAACAGGAGTTGGCGGAGCATTACCAGTGGACTGAGTATCTGCAGCAACATCGGTTGAAGCACGGGTAGTGGCTTGGCCGGAAACAGGTTGCTGATTTTGTGCAAGAGGCGGCTTGTTGCTTAATGATGGTGGTGGGCAGACCAGATTGATTAGGACATTTAGTGCAGGCTGTGCGATCTTCAATAACAAAGAAAAAATCAAAGGAAATTATCAATGAGAAGATAAAAGAAGAAAGACTAAACCCATGTGAATAATGTATAAAAGCGGACTGCATACCTCTGGGTCTATGCTGTTGGAAATATTTGCTGCATCCAGAACGACAGCAATGCCAGCACGATTGTTGCTGAGTGTGGCATTCACAATTGCTTTGCGGCCATCAGGTATTGATGAAACTATGCGAAGAACATCAAAAGCATGCTGAAGTAGATCATGGAGATAACGGTCTGCTGGTGGAGTCTGCGCATGCGACCAACATGTAAGTGCATGTATTAAAAAAAAAGTACCTATGAAGGGTAAATGCTACATTACCTGACATAGTTCCAACATGGTAACATGTCCAGAGGACGCCACAAAGTTATTGACAGCAGGCCACTGAGTTCTGACAAAAGTCGGACCCAACTTCCTATCCTTCTGTAACTGAAGCAATACCGCATCTACAGCTTCATTGCTGATGTCAAGTGGCTTATACGCTGCCCTTACATTGGGAACATTTCGCACACCACCTCGGCCACTTCTGCTAGGACGAATGGACTCCACAAGCAAAAGTAGATGAGCTCTAAAATACTGGCGCAAAGCAAAACAGGTGTGAAAAGCCATCTGTTTCTCTGAGGATGTCATGACTTCAGGGGCTGATCGGTCAGAATTGGCACCAGTTCTAACTGAGGCTGCATCTTTAAGAATCGAAAGGAGTTTCTGCAAACTATTATGAGCATCGAATGCATCTAAAATGGCTCTAAAGACAAAAGTAGCAGCGAAGAATAAGGCTGCATTTTTCCTGGCTTGATCCTGAGAGCAATCTAGAAGTTCGATAGCTAACTTAACCAGTTGATGTATGAGATCCGATGGAAGTGCACACACACGCTCCATTATACCCTGAGAAGAAAAAAAAATTGAAGGTTAGAAGAAGCCGGATTTGTAATAATTCAACGATAGGTCTGTGAAAAAATAGCATCAGAGTCGTGTTATTACTACCTGAAGAGAGCCTATGGTGTATAAGCAAGATGAGAGACCATAAAAGGTCTCAGTAACCCTTGGTACAGCAAGTAACTTTTGCAAGCCACCCCGGTCAACAAACATTGCAGCAAACTTCCGGTGTGCAGCCAAAGCGCAAATCAACTTCATCACGTCAGGTAACAAAGGCGACAGTGTAAAACTATCACCAAGTTGGGATGTACGTTCCAGTAGCACAATGCATACGTCCACACCTTTTTCATGGAGGACAGGCCCGAGAACCTCAACATATTCGCCCAGTATCTCAAGGCATTGGATGCAATATTTTTCTTGTAACTGAGCCAACGATTCAATATCGGGAAGCGAAACTTCACCAAAATCCGCAAGTGCATCAGTTTCCACGCTATTTAAATCCGCAGTCTGATCAGGTACAGCACAAGTGGGATTTCTGTCACCACCCCAAAAAGCAGAGTTAAAGACCTAAACAATCCGGAGATAACTAGAAGCTACCATATCTGATAAACCTCAGCAGAATTAACGACAACAGAGCATGACTGACCTTGAAACCTCAGCGGCATCTATGACTGTAGTAGCTGCTCGAACAGCAGCAGACACGGCAGCTTCTTCACTGCCAGATGACTTGAATTCCTGGAAAATTTAAAAAACAAAGACGTTCAATATACACGTATCAATTCAGAGGTTCATAACGGAAATGAAATCATTAGCAGATAGCCAAAATAAAAACATACCTCCAAAGCAGCAGTTTTAACAAGCTCAGCTGCAGCATCGCCAGCTGCTTTAGCTGCGTCATCAGGAGCATGCGCAGCCCTAGCTTCGGTTTCAGCAGCTCCAATTGCTCTCTTTACTAGATCAGTTATGTTTTTGGTTCCTATCAAGCAACCTTGAAAGCACTCATCATTCTCATCTCTTTCAATCCCCATAAAACCAGACTTCATTTTCCCTAGACATGTGGTCACATCTTCTGCATTTCTGACATCTGAATTTTTTGATAGATCCCTATCTCTGACACCCACACGACTTGATCTAGGAGATGCCAAGAGAACGTCTGTATCAGTAGCACCTTCGTTAACCTTTCCTCTCCCCCTGGATTTTGATCGGTTCATTCTCTGTCTTGTAGGGTCATCTCTTCCTGTATTGTCATCTCCAGGTTTCAATTTACAGTCAACAACAGCTGAAACATTACATCTTTCTCTGCCATCGGTTTCAAAGTCTCCTTCAGATTGTCCCATCTCTCTACCGGAGTCTGCCTCAAGAACATGGTCACCTTCAACTGTATCCACAACCCTCCGCACCCTACTTCGACCTTCTTCTTTTGCTTTTAACGACACATGCTTAGTTTCAGTTGCATGAAGGGCATCTCTACGGCTTGTGCTTGACTCTTTAATAAAACGTACTCGAAGATAATGCATAAGCTTAGCAGATAGTCCTGATGACAAGACGTCCTCAACTAATTGACCACGACTTGTATATGTCAGATAAAAAATATTTATTTCAGCTGCCCATCCAAAAATATTGCAAAACATCTAAAAGAGACAGTAAAATGAGAATATTTAAATGCATACCTCGTCAGAGAGACAGCAAGAAGTCCTGTAGAATAAGTCTTTAACATTTCAGCATCAGATGCCTCTTTTCCGCCAGAGTGTTCACCAGGAAACTTGACTGACTCATCCAAGACCCAGTTTTTAAAATTCTCCATAACAGCATCGTCGAAAACATAAGGATACTGTAAGAAACAACAAAAAGAGAGCATTAAAGCATGAACCAACCATTACCAACGAGCTGCTAAACGTAAAAGAAAGTAGTAAAGAACGTAGTAAACTCTTTACCATCGAAGTAAGCGAGCAGTTCATTAGCAACCTAACGGAGGCTGCCTTAACCGCAGTTGAGTAAGTGTTCTCAGTAAGAAAATCCGATGAAACCAACTCAAAAAACTCATCATTCTCCTGCAAGAAAAATCAAAAAAACCAAATAAAAAAATCAAGAAACCAAATAAAAATCAAAGAAACCAAATAAAAAATCAAGAAACCAAATAAAAATCAAGAAAACAAAGAAAAATCAAGATTCCAAATAAAAATAAAGAAACCAAACCAAGAAAATACAGAAACCAAATAAAAATCAAGAAAATAAAGAAAAATCAAGAAACCAAATCAAGAAAATCAAGAAACCAAATAAAAAATCAAGAACTGATTCATTAAAAAAGACATACTCGGATGAGATTACACAACTTGCCACTGATATGATTACTTCTACCATTTGAGTAAAACCCATTCTCCTTTATAAACCTGCAGATACCAAAAAAAAAAAAAAACCTTCAAACTTTAACCTAAAAAGAGAGTGTGAAAGTGAGAAAAAAAAAAGGAACATACAAAGACTCCTGAGCTTCTAGGAGATGACTAAGAGCGTGGAGAACAGTAGGGTTAGGGTTACTAGGAACCGTGGTGATGTTATCCATGAGCTTCTGCGCCTTCACAACAAGCTCATCTTCTTCCTTCTGTTCCAAATCAATCTCCGCGGCTATCTCCTCCACAATAGCCGTTACTTCATCCTCCACCGTTGGATTATCCATGTTTTTTTTTACCTCTCAGAGATCGATCAAGACGTTGGAATCGTGGAAAATTGGAAGTTCGGTGAAGAGAGAAGAGTAAATAGAGAGAGAAGCTTTTTAGTTTTAGGTGTGGAGTGAGAAGGTGGGAGACGGAGACGACAAAGCTTAAACCGACTTTGATTCTAGAAGAATAATAATAATAACCCGACCCGTTTTTTTTTCTATAAGACAAACCCTAGTCCATTTAAATGGGCCTTGTATAGGCCCATACTTGTGTTGTTATTCCAAAAGTGTAGTTATCTTGCCCGAGACTTGAGTGACAAGTATTCTTTTGCTTATGTCAATCAATTTTTGTTTTGCTTACATTTTGTATTTGATCGTTGATTTGGTTTGTCAAATTTCAGCTGGAATCATGTTGATGGATGGTCTGAAATCGAATCAGTCTTGGGTTAGAGAACGTCGCTTACATGGGCAAGTTATCAGTGGCAGATTTAGAAAAAAGTTTTTTTAAAAAGTTTAAATAGGGGCAAAAAAAAGTAAATATAGAAACAAATATAAAAACAGTGTAAAAAGGGCAGAGGAGAGGCATTGATCTTTGGTTTAGTGGGGGCATCTTGTAGGCTTTGGCCAACTTAGCTGCAAGACATCTTTCTAGTGTACATAAATTTAAGTTTAACATTTTGTGGGGTAACTGCACCCATGCTGAGCTACGTAGATCCGCCACTGCAAGTTATTACTCTTGTAGAGAACATTGGTTTTACATAGGGAGTAGTTGTATGATACTTTGCTTGAACATTTGTCACTAAGCTCTCCTGTCTCTAGGTTTAAAAACCAATGTCGTTACTCAACTAGAAAAAGATCTTAACCATTGTGTCATAGTCCATGTTCGAGAAACCGTTGGGACGAAACTAAAAGTGGTTTCAGGCTTGAGAGCATTACCGGCTTGACTCCGAACTTCCTAATATCAAACAACATATAAAAACTTTTCCTAGGTTTGGTTTTCATAATCTCAAATGAGAAATGAATTCATGGTCCAAGTTTCACAAGTTCTAGGTCAACTATGAGTTCTCTTAAGCCCATACGTTTCGGTTGTGCATATATAGTCGCATCGCATATCACCTTAAGGGTTGTCAAGAAGATGATACAGCACGTTCTATGTTCCAGAATCTATCAGACAGGTTATTTGCTGCACTTTGATATGTCCATTTGCTTCTGCTTTTTTGTAATGTCTAGCAGACTGAAAATTAGTCATTTGTGAAAGCTTTTCCACATTAAAGACCATTATGCAATGTAGAAATGGAGAACCTCGAACAACTCTCAGGAAACAAGAGATCAAACAGGCAAGTAACACATAAATCTCAATGTTTCTTTAATAGTTTCTCAAAAAAAACACCAAAGTTTTTTCCAAAAAAATAATCAAAACCAATCAAACTTTCTCCATAATTCACAAAACAATATACATACACATCCACAAGAGTAACAACACCGCCACTGATCTTGTCAAACCCATCCTCACACTTCCTTCACCCCCTGAAGAATCCGACTTAATCATTACCTTAAACTGACAACTCCCAAAAGAAGGATCCCTTGTACTAATCATAGAAATCCCCCCAGGGAACTTACACGCACTATCCAACTGATCACTCACCTGATAATAACTATTAAACGCATACGAAACATTCCCCGCCAAATCCATGCCACCACAAGAAGAACCATACCCAAGACTAGTGCAATCAGCATGATCACAAGCGTATCCAACACTTGGTCCTAACCGAGGATCCTCAACATTAGCATTCGGTGCAAGAACACACCATTTCTTAGCCATATGATGAACATCCTTAGCCGGAACCAAACCATTACCGTTTCCTCCAAGACTCAGCTGATACTTAGGCCTTCCATCAATGTAAAACATCCCCCAATGTCTTTCAAAGTTCCCTGGCTGGATACTCTTAGCATCTTCATCTATAAGACTGAACAAGTAAGCATCCATTGGTCCTGGTCTCATAGGTGTTCCTCTACCAACTCTTTGACGGTTCATAAACCCTTGATTATACCGCCGTGCGTACTGCATGTTTGCGTTTTTATCTCCATCCGTAGGCCAACCAACTTCACCAACGATGATAGACAAGTTACCAAACCCATTCTTCTGTAAAGACCAAACTAATGTATCGTAGTTTGCGTCAAGCACATTGTCGTAGACCTTCCCATTGTCGTTTATAGGGTCACCAGTGCCATCAAAGAAGGCAAACTCAACAGGGAAGTGAGGGTCGTTGTAGAGACTGATGAAAGGGTAGATGTTGATAGTGAAGGGAGCTTGGTTGTCACTTAGAAACTGGACGATGCTGATCATGAGGTCGCGGATTTCGAGCCTGAAGTCTCCATCTGAAGGGAGGTTAGAGGCGCTTTGGTAGACGTCTGCGTTGAGTGGGACTGTGACTTTCACCTGTGTGGCTAAACCAGCTCTGATGAGAGCTGATTGTATGTTCTTGAGAGCAGGGAGTGTTATGTCCTCGAATGTTCCGTTGAATGCCTTTAGAAATGGCTCGTTCCCTACTGCCACGTACCTAAGTTTAGACACAACACAAGTCAGCACAGTTAGTAACTTCAAAGCTCTATCTTTACTCACTAACTGTAACCAAAAGTCTAAAGATTGAGGCTTTAGGCATAACAACAAGTCAACACAGTTTGTAAACTTCAACCTCTTATGCATAAGACAAAGATGAACTTCAAAGTTTCTATTTAACTCACAAACTGTAATCAAAAGTTTAAAGAATGAAGCTTTAGGCAACTTCTTATGCATAAGACAAAGATGAACTTCAAAGCTTATATTCTACTCACAAACTGTAATTAAAAGTCTAAAGATTGAGCTTTAGGCATAAGTACAAGTCAACACAGTGACCAAGAAGACTATCTTCAAAGTTTCTATCTTTACTCACTAAATGTAATCAAAAGTCTAAGGAGTGAAGCTTTAAGCATAAGCACAAGTCAACACAGTGACCAAGAAGACTTTTTTCAAAGATTCTATCTTTACTCAAAAACTGTAATCAAAAGTTCTAAAAATTGAAGCTTTAGGCATTAGCACAAGTCAACACAGTGACCAAGAAGACTTTCTTTTAAGTTTCTATCTTTACTCATTAACTGTAATTAAAAGTCTACAGATTGAAGCTTTAGAGCAAAAGCACAAGTCAACACAGTGATCAAGACTATCTTTAAAGTCTCTATCTTTACTCACTTAACTGTAATCAAAAAGTCTAAATATTGAAGTTTTAGGCATAAGCACAAGTCAACACAGTGACCAAGAAACTATCTTTACTCACAAACTGTAATCAAAAGTTCTAAAGATTGAAGCTTTAGGCATAAGCACAAGCAACACAGTGACCATAACTATCTTTAAAGTTTCTATCTTTACTCACAAACTGTAATCAAAAGTTCTAAAGATTGAAGCTTTAGGCATAAGCACAACACAGTGACCATAACTATCTTCAAAGTTTCTATCTTTACTCACAAACTGTAATCAAAAGTTTCTAAAGATTGAAGCTTTAGAGCCATAAGCAACAACAAACCTGATATCAACTCCATTAGAGGAGACATGAGCAGAGACATTCTGAGAAACCCATCTCTCTGCAACTGCAACACTTCCTGCTATAGGAGCAAGTAAGTCATTAGGGATTCCGACCATAACCTGAATCCCCGACCGACTTAAAGCTCCGAGAATCTTCGTGTCGGCCTCGAAAAGTTTCACCTTTCGGATTCCATTTGCCTGGAGAAGCCTCACCACTGTAGCTGGAGGTAACGGGTGACTCGCCTGTGAGCCCCAGTTCACACCAATAGCTTCAAGCTCAATAAACAAGTTTCTACATAACAAAATGAGTACGAAAGAGACAGCAACAACACTTTTGGACAGCATCTGAACCCAAATAACCCAACAAAAAGAAAAATCTAAACTTTATTTTAAAAAAACAAGCTTAGATGTAAGTGTTAGTGAAGTTGAAAACTTTGGTTTTGAACAATGGTGGATTTGGAGGAAGTTTCAAGATTTAAAAATGAGAATCGGTGAAGTACACGAGACTTGAGAATGTTTTTGTATTTTCCTCGTTTGAATAAATCGAGGATAAACTAAAGAGAATGGCTTTTTAGTTCTGTCACAATGTCTGAAAGGTGGTGTGAATGCTTTGATTGGTAGTAACGCTCATCTTAAATTAGCAGTTTATTAATGCAAATATTAAGGATAAAGAAACTAAAAGAGAGAGAGCATTTAATCCCATTTAAATGCTGTAGTTTCTTTCCACTATGTGTTGGTCTCACTAACTTTAGTTATCAAAAATATATGAATTTCATATAGTACTAACAAAAAACCTTTGCTATATCGTTACCATCATTCTTAAGTTTTCGAACTATTTGAATAGTAGTAACCCATTTAAAGAGGTATTTGGTTGTATATTGTCTGGCTACTGCTAAATAAAGATTGTACTGATGTGAGGCAAGAGCATGTGGATGAGGTCAAGCAGAGGTGTAAAGTCTCTAAAGAAAAAGAATCTTTAAAAGAGATTGTGTTAAGTGATGATCTTGGAATTAAAAGTTGATTTCCTTTTTGTGAAAAGAACAGTGAACACAGAGAGTGAAAGGTGTCGAGGGGCTAGTAGAAACTTTTAGTCTCCTTCATTGTGATAAGGACAAGTAAAGCTCGAGGGGCTAGTAGAGAGAACATACAGTGGTGTGATGATGGTCACTGGCCAGAGGGGTGGTGGTCCTGAGATTTCAAAGGGTGTAGACAATTTAGAAAAAAAATCTACAAAAAAAATATTTTACAAATTAGGAAACATTTTTTTTTTACAAATTTGGAAACATATCTATGTAAAAAATAGGCTTATATTTCTATGTAAACCTCTCATGGATGGTTTTGGTCGAAGAATTGTTACTTCTGTGTATGATTCACAAACGTTCAGCCACTTGATCATGCATCCACCGGTCTTATTTTTTTTCTTTTGGAATTGAGACTTGATCATTTTTAATTATTATTAGGTGTTTTGCCCGCATTTGCGGGCTTAATAATTTTACTAATATCTACAAATAAATATATAATCAATTTATGTAAATTATAATAAATTATAGTTCATAGACTCAAAATATTTAATAATAAACTAAACAAATTCTTTCTATATATAAAATTTTTCATCATCATATAAATAATTTTCATTACACAACTTATATTTGAAAATACTCATGAACTTAAAACATTTAGTAATAAATTAATATCATTTGTAGACATAACAAAAAAATATAAAAAATTATCTTTAATAATGTTTGGGATAACACAATATAAATTCTCTATACATAAATTCTTTTCGAATTGATTTTTCATAATTAACTATATATTAACAAATAGAATTAGTTTTCAACGTTAATAAAGACTTTATAACACAATATAAAAAAAGTTAGGTAAAGATAATTATCAAATTCATGAGATTCATTTTTTAATTTAGAATTAATTATATGTCAACAAATATAATTATTTTTCAAAATAAAGACTTTATCCCATAATATAAAAAGTTAAAATAAGGAAAATTATAAATAAATGAAATTCGTTTTTAATTTATAATTAATTATATATTAACTAATATAATTATTTTTCAAGGTTAATAAAGACTTTATAACCCAATATAAAATATTTTTAGATAAAGATAACTCTAAAATCATTGAAATTCTTTTTTATTTATGTTTAATTATATTAAAAATTTAATTATTCATTAAGGATATAAACGATATTAACCGCTCTAACTTTCAACGTGAAAGTTACAAATTATTCAGCAAATTCACTTAAATTTTATTATTGAAAATATATTTTTAAGATAACAATCTAATACAAAATAATTAACATATTTTCTAAAAATATAATATTATTAACATAAATTCTTTTTTATTTTATAATAAATTATTAAAACATGAAAATAAGCAAAATAACCTAAAATCATGGAGAAGTTGACAACTAAGCAAATTTACTTCTCAAATAATGTTATAGATAGAGCATAACATGATATACATACATATATTATAAATTGAGTTAAAACCTATTTAATAATTTATTAAACGAAGTAATATATATACATCTTAAAAATCAACAATGAGTTTGAATAATCCTAAAACTAGGTAATTTATAATATAATATAAAGTATTTTAGATAATGATAATATAAATATATGGCTTTATCTTTATTTTTAAAAACTATTATATAAAATAATTATTTGGATAAATTAATATAAAATATTTTTAGGTTTTTATAATTATAGAATTCGTTTTTAATAATGGTTAACTATATATTAACAAATTATATTATTTATTAAAGAAATAAACGATATTAACCGTTCTAACTTTCAAGGTGAGAACTCGATACAAAAAATAATTTTGTAAATAATAATATAGATATAAGATTTGATGTGGGAAACAAATATAGATGATAGAGAACTATGGTTACGTACATAACAAATTTATAATATTTAACTTATCAAAAAAAAAATGTATAAGATTTATGATTCTTTGAAAAAAATATATTTATTTTACTTTGCGTTATTATGGCTTAAATGGGCCAACTAGCACAACAAAAAGCCCAATAGAAAAACACAACAAATATAAAACCGAACATAAGTATGAACTAAACCCTTAACTAAACCCTTTCTGTCTTTCGTTGTTGTCGGCTCGAGGAAAAAAATTCAATTTTTCACCTGCGATTCCTCCACTGTAGAGAGAGAAGAGATGCCGCTCGGAGAGAGAGGAGGATGGGAGAGAAGCGAGTCCAGATACTGTGGCGTGGAGACTGATTTCTCAGACGATGTTCCGTCTCTTCTCTCCTTCAACATCTCCACCGGCGGGTTTGACTATGTCCTTGCTCCTTTGGTTCGTTTTCTTTCTTCTTATCGATTATAAAAATGTAGAATCAGTGTTTTATCTATATTTAATGGAGGAATGTTGTTATGTAGATGAACCCTTCGTATAGGCCGAGTTTGGTGGAAGGAAAGGGTTTGGAAACTCAGGTTCTACCTGTTGCTGGCTCTGACTTAGTCTTGTCGCCTTCCCAGTGGAGCAGTCATGTCGTTGGTGTGTTTCTCTTGTGTTGGTTATATGATTTATGAATGATTTGATTAATAGTATTTTTTTTTCTTTCTTTAGGGAAGATTAGTTCTTGGATTGATTTGGATTCTGAAGATGAGGTTTTGAGAATGGATTCAGAAACTACATTGAAGCAAGAGATAGCATGGGCTACACATCTCTCCTTACAGGTGCTTAGGAATCTATAAATTTAAGTTATGCTTTGTTGTCTACATAGCTGCGATTTTTTTCCTTCTGCTTTTGATTGTTGATGCTAGAGGATGAATGGAGTGTTGTTATTTGTTTGCAGGCATGCCTTCTTCCTACTCCTAAAGGGAAGTCATGTGCCAATTATGCCAGATGTGTGAACCAGGTGTTACAAGGGCTGACTACCTTGCAGGTGGTTTACGAATTTCTTGCTCTCTGTCATGTCTTATTCAAGTTTAGGATATTCTTTACAAGAGCATCTTTAGTAAAGCTCTAACTTTCTTTTGTTTTGTTTAATGTCATTATGCTATGAAGTTATGGCTGAGGGTTCCGCTTGTGAAGTCTGAAGGTGATTCAATGGATGCTACCACTGAGGGTCTGGTAAGTCGTTGAACTAAAGTTGATGCAAACTTTTAGATTGTTCATACATTTTGTGCCTTCTCGGATTTTTGAGACTGCTTGTGTTTATAAGCCTTACAAACCTATACATATTGATGAATTTTCTTAGCAATTCATGTTGTTTTGTAAGCTTCCTTTTTGTTTGTTTGTTATGTATTGTCATTGTGGTTATAAAATATACTCGCTTTCTGTGCAGACTGATTCCTGGGAACTGTGGAATTCGTTTCGTCTTCTTTGTGAGCATGACAGCAAACTCTCTGTTGCTCTTGATGTTATGTGAGTTGAGAGAGTATCTTGATTGCTTTTTGTTAATGTGGACTCAGTTTTTTTTTTCCTCCGCAAACATAACCCCATGTGTTTTTTTAATCTAGGAGTACACTACCCTCTGAAACATCACTTGGACGCTGGATGGGAGAGTCTGTCAGGGCAGCCATAATAAGCACTGATGTAAGTATCTCACCTTTTTACCACAACCGTTATAAACTCGATTCTGAAGTCCTGTAATTCACAAAAATACTTCTAATTTTATTGCAGTCGTTCTTAACAAATGCTCGGGGTTATCCTTGCTTGTCAAAACGCCACCAAAAGCTTATAGCAGGATTTTTTGATCATGCTGCTCAGGTAATAAATATCCTCTTCTTTGATATGTAGTACACTAATTTGAAGTGCCAAGATTGGCTCTTTTTGTACTGAGCTTTTTTCTGATAATCTGTCATTATGTGATAAAAAATCCTCTTTTCATTCAGAAACCGTATATCTATCTATCTCTCTCGTTCTAGGATTCATCATCATTGATCTTGTAATTACAGGTTGTAGTTTCTGGAAAGCCTGTTCATAATCTTCCAAAGGCTTCTGATTCTAACACTGAGGGTAATTTTTTCTCTATTTTTTTGTTGTTTGGTAACACTTAGCTGTTATCTCTGTTTTTTACCATAGCTCTATTTATAAGCAAATACGTTTCATGTTTTCTTTTGATAAGTTCTTAATGTGGTATGGTTCTCAGGTACGCAGAAGCACCCCCTGCGGTCATATTTAGACTATGTTGCTTATCTGTTCCAGAAAATGGAACCACTTCCTGAACAGGAACGCATAGAGGTCGTTTCTTGGATCCTTTGTCTCAGTTCTTGTTTTTAATCACCATTGAATCATTGATACGAGCACGCAAAACTAATCTCAGTTCTGATAGTTACCTTTTTCCTTTTACAGCTTGGCTACAGGGATTTTTTGCAGGCACCCCTGCAGGTTAGTTTCTCTCCATAAGTAATACTGATTCCGTTTTATCAAAATATGTTGTCATTAAAATGCTCTATTCTTACTTTAAAGAGCTTTCTCTGTTTTTTAAATACAGCCTCTGATGGATAACCTCGAAGCCCAAACCTATGAGACGTTTGAGAGAGACACTGTTAAATACTTACAAGTATGTTTAGTATGCTAGTTTTATTTCCTTCTTGTCTTATATTTAACACTTCTGTTTTCTGGACTACCCCTTTTGTATTTCTTCTTTGGTTAGCAAAAGGAAAGATACCGATGGATGTTTCAATAGCGTTAACAATAATGGCGTGGTTGGTTTTATTGTCATGCCTAATTTTGGTCCATATTTGTGTTGCTAGTATCAAAGGGCAGTTGCTAAAGCCTTGGTGGACAGGGTCCCTGAAGAAAAAGCTTCCGAGATAACTACTGTAGGTCACCTGTTAATACTTTTTCATAGGTTACATGTGACATTTTCATTTATAAGTTTTTGTTGTTGGTAATCGTATAAAATACTTCAGTAGTACTAAAGTTATAGTTTGTAGGTCTTGATGGTCGTGGGAGCAGGAAGAGGACCCCTTGTGAGGGCATCGTTGCAGGTAGTTTTGATGCCACTCCATGCTGATCACAAAGAGAATTTGAACCTCATTTTTCTTAATCTGTAATGTTCATTGGTTTCTAATCTCAGGCAGCTGGAGAAACTAACCGCAAGTTGAAAGTTTATGCCGTCGAGAAGAATCCTAATGCAGTTGTAACTCTCCATGTGAGTTATCAGCAACCGAGTCAATTGCTAAGTTTTATGTTGTTTCTTTTGGATGTGCGGAGCAGTTTTAAATGAACTCATAGAGCATTGTTATCCTTTTTGTCAGAATTTGGTTAAGTTGGAAGGGTGGGAAGGCGTTGTTACGATAATATCATGCGACATGCGTTTTTGGAATGCTTCTGAGAAAGCTGATATATTGGTCAGTAATCAGTATGTACAGACTTGATAGCTATTACTCATACCGACATTATACAGTTCATCTAATTCTTGTTTGCCTCTGTTCTTCAGGTTAGCGAATTGCTGGGTTCTTTTGGAGACAATGAACTCTCTCCTGAGTGTCTTGATGGAGCCCAAAGGTTTCTGAAGCCAGATGGAATTTCAATACCATCCTCGTATGTGTACTCCTTTACTAAAGTCTAATAGCTACTAGTCCAGTTTTAAAGCTTAAAGAACAATTACATATCTTATTATGGTTCTCTAACTCGAGTACTATCGTGTTACTTTTTGTAGGTATACAAGTTTCATACAACCTGTAACAGCTTCGAAGCTTTACAATGACGTAAGTCCTTCTAGTTTCTGCTGTTTACTCTTTCTCACAAGATGATTCTGTTCAGCTTAGTATTTTATACTAATTGGCAGGTTAAGGCTCATAAAGATCTTGCGCACTTTGAAACTCCTTATGTCGTAAAACTACACAGTGTAGCTAGACTTGCTCCTTCGCAATCTGTGAGTCTCTCTCTTTCTTCAGGATTGCTTAACAGCTTATAGTATTCTCTTTGAATAAAATTATTCAAGTCTTGTTGTTGTCTCGCTCTTAGGTGTTGTGTTTTGATCTTACTTAGGTTTTCACTTTTACTCATCCAACAACAAAAGCCAACAATCAACGCTACAAAAAGCTTCATTTCAATCTACCAAGCGACGCTGGGTCAGCCTTGGTGCATGGTACAAGATTTTATAGTCTTTTTGTCAGTTTAAATATGAATTATTATCTCCATTTTTCCTAATCTGAAACTAATCTGTTGTGATCATACGTAACTCAACAGGATTCGCTGGCTATTTTGATTCCGTCCTGTATAAAGATGTCCATCTTGGGATCGAACCTACAACAGCAACACCAAACATGTTCAGCTGGTAATGGCCTTAATCTATAAATATGGCATTTTAATCCTTCTTGCTTAAAAAGTAAACCGATATAATATCATGTTCCTTGTGGCAGGTTCCCTATCTTTTTCCCATTGAGGAAGCCTGTAGAAGTTCACCCTGATTCTCCATTAGAAGTTCACTTTTGGAGGTGTTGTGGTTCATCAAAGGTAAAACAAAATGTTTAAATTACCATGATTCTTGTATTGTACGCAACTAACTCTCTTAGTCTCGACTCTTGAGAATCATTATTGATCCTATGATGTTCGGGTTCAGGTTTGGTATGAATGGTCGGTGTCTTCACCTACTCCAACTCCGATGCACAACACCAACGGCCGTTCTTACTGGGTGGGCCTTTAGGATGAGAGGATACTGAGATGAGTCATGGACTGATGTATTTCTTTCTACTGTATTTTTATGTTGAACAAAAGACCAAATTTTACAAGTGAATCAAATCTGTTTTGACCTTATGAATGTTTCTACTTCATCAGTAATAGTTTCACCTATGCACTCTTTAATACAGAGCTGTTTACAAACACAATGTCATCTCAAACGGCTAAAACAGCAACTAATTTCACATTTTCAATTTGACAAGAAGCGGTGTTTACAACATTGGTACACAAGCCTAGATTAATAAGTTTTGTTGCTGCTTTTGAATCCATTCGTCGTAATCTTTGAGTAATTGCTGAAGCATAAGGGGCACTAATGTATCTACAAGTGTCTGCATCACTCTGCCATCATCATATCAAAATATAACATTGCTTAACTTTCGAGCCAAGAAGCAGCATGAAGGTAAAGTGAACAATAATATCTACTTACAGATTTCCAGGAGCCTCAACAGCTGATACTGGAAGCATAGTGAAAGGTCGAGTTGAGATCTGCCATGAAAAAGGGTGGTTTCTATGAACAGCAGAACTAAAGATTATTAACACACACAAGCTTAGTTTAGAGCACAATTGTCGATTGCAGAAGATTCATTAATGTGCAGTATAGTATATGACACTCTTAAGGCTACAGATAACAGAGGATTGCACGAGAATGAAACTATAAACAAACTTAAAAAAAGAATTGAAATTCATAAACAACCTCTAGAGTGACTTTCAAGCTCACATCAACCTCCAGAAATGGCTCTGGATCTTCCATGTTCCAAGTCATGCAATTTGTCATAACGGCTGCATCCAAAAAGGGAAAAAACATTTGTACCAAACTTTAGAAACCTCAGATTTGCAGTGGTACTATCAACTGTTTATGTTTACTGAGACAAAAGTTACCTGAAAACACTTCACTTTGGTTCTCGAGTAACTCTGACCCCTCCAACTGCAAGGAGGAAGCAGAGCAAAACATTTATCGGTAAAGAGATAAGATAACAACATAAATACTCGATAAAACTCAAAAACATGCGTCTCTTTCACTCAACCTTGCAGGAAAGCAGCTCAACTGTACAATCTTCCTGTGTGGGAACGACCCTCAAAACCAGTACTGGAGAAACTTCAAAGCTCATTAACTGAATTTTTGGCAATGTACATCTGCACTGTAACACAAAGTTTTACCATCTCCCTTCCTCACATAAAAACACACTTTCCATATAACTCAGCTAACATATTACATATACTAATATTCGAGAACGGTAGTTAGAAGACTAGCAACTACACCGACTTTTAGAACATTATCATCTACATAAAATAACTAAGTTTACTACATATTATCCACTTATTACATTTACTATCTATGTCTAAAGATACACTCTTTAGATATTTCTGCTAACATATACAACATTGCCCTATTTAAACATCAAAAAAATGAAGAGGCTACAAACACACATGCAAAAAAAACTTTATGCCAAACAAAGCTTTGCTGAAACAGAACAAAGAGAGAAACTTTCAGGTTACTTAAAGAAAGAACCTGTAAATATTCTCATCATCATCATCAACTAACTGATAACTCTCCAAAGCCTTAGCATTGATAACAGCCTCCATGCCAGAAGGGTGTTTCAAGAACTCACTGAAAGTGAGCTCCTTTTCTCCATTACTCTCTAACTTGATTCTCTGTTTCCTCGAAGCAGAGAGATTCGCTTTCTTTGAACTCAAAATCACCATTTCTCTACGAACATAACTACCCAAAAGAACTCTCTCCCTGAAAACAGAGCACTTCCCCTAATCAAATCACTAATAAAGAAAAAAAGGAGACAGCTTTAGAAATGTAAAACAGAGTCTAAAGACCTGTGGATTGCGTTAGGGTAGGATCTGAGTAAAGACAGGAACTTTCTTGGGGATTGTGAAGTTACGGAAGCTCTCCATCCGTTGTGAATCGCAGTGTTCATGTTTCTATGAAGTTTGCTTACTCTTTTGAGGATTAAGGAAACAGAGGAAGGGACAAAGAATGAAGAAACAGAGTACTCTGTTTCTTATAAGTTGATTTGTGCTAGAAAGAGAGTTTTATCGTTTCTTTGCTGCTTTTGGACGATCATCATCGTCGATGGGAACAAGTGAGCAGGTGAGTTCTCAAAAAGCTCTTATCCGCCGCCGTTAATTGGAGGATTGTACTCCTAACGTTGATGGTCATCCACGTGTGTGTTTGTTTCTCATCTCGCAGTAAAAATCTTGGTTTTTCACCAGAGACAAGTTACTTTTGTTCCAAACGTTTTAACTGAGTGTTTCGATTAACGTGTTTTAACTGAGTGTTTCGATTAACGTGTTTTAACTGAGCATCCGATAGTTACTGAGATAGTCCATGTAGTAGAATAAGCAGACACTCTGTTTAATGCAGAGGGTTTTGTGATAAAGATCTCAAATAAATAGAAGAGAGGAGAGCTTTGGAAAACTATGCTGAATATTGTTGGCGTTTTAGGTTATGATCGAATCTGAGATTTTAAACTCTCTGTTAATCAGACCATAAGCAAAGCTGTAAGCAACTTCAGGTATTAGCAATGCATAAACTTTTACCTGAGCGAGTACAGTATATGTCATCACAATTAATTTACAAAATGTCAATCATAAATTAGAAATACACAATCACAAACACACATAAATACAAAAAAAAAACTCAAAACATTGCCTCAAACACTATCTTAGGCCATCTATTAATAGGTGTCTTAGAATTAAAAAAATGAGAGAATATTCAAAAAAGTGACAGAAATATTTAACACCAGTTATTGGTTGCAGATGGCTGCAGAGATATTTTCATCTCAAAATTAAAAACCCTTTCCATAACATGTCTTTCTCTTATTGGTCAATTTATTTTCCTAAATAAAATTATTTAATTTTCTTGCTTTTAGATACTCAATACAAGGTTTTATCGTTGTTGTCCTTGAGCTTGAAAATTTTACTTTTTTCAATACAAGGTTGTTGTCTTTAGCAATATAATAATTGTTTTATTTTCTTTAATAATTAAGGACTCTAATCATAAATGTTTCTCCAGTTATGTTATTCATTATGGAGTTCTTAGAAAAAAATATTAAATTATAAAACATATTGATCATGGAGTTCTTAGAAAAAAAAATATATTAAATTATAAAACATGTGAAATTAAAATTTTTACGAGAAAATGACTTAAAAACCCTAAAAAGGTTTTTGTCACAAATATAACATATAAAGAAAAAAAATGACCAAAATATACTTTATTAAAAAGTGTAAAACACATTTATATTCCTTGGATTAACTAATCTAGACTTAGGGTTTAGAATAATGGGTTTGGAGGTTAGGGTTTAAGTCTTACGGTTTTTTTTTTTTTAAAGTTAAAAATTTCAACAATCGAACGTTACCACGTCATTAAAGATTATGTCTTTAAAATACCTTAGTTAAAAACTCTTTCTTAGCTTATCCAAATTAAATACTATTATTTTAAATATGATTTGTCTAAGAATGTGTGTTAAGAATTTGGTTAAATCCCTCGTTGTGGATGGTCTTATTTTGTGCTTATTTCAACAGTAGTCTTGTCCACCCATAACGTTTGAAGAGCCTCTTCTTCCTCTTTGTCAAGCCTTCGTCTTAAGTCACTGGGGAGTTGTCAAAATAGAATACCCATTTAGAACTAGAAAGCATTGCAACATGGAGAAGGCTTATGAAACCTAATGTATTACAACATTTGATTTCGTATGACCTCTCCAAATACAAATATGTCTTCTAATTCTAAAAGGTATTGGATTTTGACACCTCCAGCGTGACCGGAAGTGTGAGACACGTGATGAGTCTCTTAAGCTGAACATTCTAACTTTTTTTTACAACATTGCCTTTCTTTTGTGTTTAGTGCTTGTTGCAATACTCTGAGAGGTGTCAAGATACCGTCTCCATTCGGAATCAGAAAAACTTGCTACATGAATAAGGCTTACGAAACCTAAGGTATAACAACATCAGGTTCCGTAAGATTTCTCCAAATAGCACAACTCGTTCTAATTCCGAACGGTACAGTATTTTGACACCTCCACAACATAAGTATTTGAAACCTCTTCACCAGAAAATAAGGGATCAGCATTAAAAAAAAAATACAACTTAAAAAGAATCAAGAAGATAGATCAATTTTGTATATTCTTGTAACCCATGTTTCTTTACTCAAAGCAAATCTGAGTTGGTTCCTCAGCTAAGGTAGATGTTTCAATAAGTCCAATAATATGGGGGAAGGTTTTTTTTATCTTCTTGTTTACTACTTTTGCAAAGACATGTATTAATTATAGTTACTTCTGCCCATGCAGATTCCTGCAAAAGTCAAATTCATTATCTATATTCATGAACTAGCAAAATAGTACACAAAAGATCTAACACCGCCCATAAATATTTAAACTAAATTTAACGTAAAACTATCATAGTTTACGACATTTTTTTTTGTTTGAAAAAGGGTTTGTTTACGACATTATTTACCTACCAAGAACATGTTGTCTTGTTGTATCAACGCAGTAAATTTATTGACATCACTACCAAATGTCAAACATAAATTACAAATACATAATCTCAAAGACTCAAACACACATCAATACAAAAAAAAAACATACAATCTTACCACATCTATTACAACTAACTTTTAACAATATTATCAATTTTCTTCACCATTACCCTAACCTGATTGATTCACCATGTAACACGAGGAACCAACGGTTCAACATCTGAAGTAGAAGCTGAAGCCACAGTACTAACCGCAGGAGCAGTCACACTAAAACTCCAAGACATTCCCCTGTTTATCACATTATCATCTTCTTCTTCTTCCTCCTCCTCCTCTTCCTCGTCATTCCAATTCTGCTCCTGTAAACCCTCTGGAGAAGTAAAAATTCTCTCCAACTCCATAAAAACTTCTATCATATTTGGACGTTTCTTCCCTTTCCAGCTCAAACACTTCACCGCTAAATTTGCCATTGCCATTACTTGCTCCAGTTTGCAATCATCTTTTATCCGAGCATCAATAATATCAGTAAGTCTCTTCTCCTTCATAGCGAGTCTAAAATGATCTGCTAAGCTTATCATTTCTCGAGTGGTTTCCACCGTTATGACAGGCTTATCTCCAGTAATAAGTTCGGCTAGAACGACTCCAAAGCTGTAAACATCGCTCTTTTCTGTATACTGGCTTGACCGGTAATACTCAGGATCAACATACCCAACTGTGCCGGAAACAACGGTTGTCCAGTGAGTTTGATCTATGGTTACTGACCTTGATGTTCCAAAATCCGCCACCTTGGCTCGGTACTTCTCGTCAAGTAATATATTTGAAGACTTTATGTCTCTATGATATATTGGAGAGCTTGCTGATGAATGAAGATAAGAGAGAGCTCCTGCCACATCCACAGCGATCCGTAGACGCATTCCCCATACCATAGTGTAATCATCAGACTCTTCATGGATATGCTGGAAGAGGTTGCCATTGATGATGAACTCGTAGACCAGCATAGGAACTTCTGTCTCGAGACAACATCCCAAGAGTTTGACAACATGTCTATGGTTGATCTGGGAGAGAATCACAACCTCGTTGATGAACTCCTGTAGTTTGTCTTCATCTATAACTTTTGATTTCTTGACTGCCACGGTTCTACCATCTAAGAGCATGCCTTTGTACACAGTGCCTTGACCTCCACGTCCAAGAACTCTGTTTTGGCTGAAATTTTCTGTGGCTTTCTCTAACTCTCTTGAGGTGAAGATTCTAGTCTTCTCGACATTGCCTTCTTTTGTGTTTAGTTCTTGTTGTAATAGTAATCCTCCATTACGTTTGAAGAACTTTTTCTTCCTCTTTGAAATCCTTCTCTTTATGAGAAACTTTCTCAGCCACCAAAGTCCACCAACTAGGGCTAAGACACCAAAACCTGAACCAACCCCTGAAGACCACACAAGAATATTATTTAATAGGTTGATCATACTTGCTTATCAAGGTAACTTTTGAGACTGATAAAAAGGGTTTATTTGCCAACTATCCATATTTCAGTAACAAATTAGGTATATATCATTGATTTTGACATAACGTAGTTTTTAACAATTATGACAGAAAGTATCCGGTTTTATCCTCTCTCAATACAAGTACCAGGTAAATATGACAATATAAAATCAAAAGCACTTGAAAACTATTCCAAATGAAAGAAAGAAAACCATTTACATGTAACTTTATTGATCACATGCATATACATCAAGTGTTCTATTTTATATCACTGAAATAGTATAGAATTATAAGTTTACTTACAATTTCAATCCCTAAATACTAGACCTTATCCTAGTCTCATACCAACCTCTAAATATTATACTCTAAACTCTAATCTATAAACCCTAAACCCAAATATAAACCCTAAACTAAAATATAAATTCAAAACCAAATAGAATGGAACAAAATAAATAACATAGTACATACTGGTGAAATTATGAATTATCTGTGATTGCATAGAAAAAGCTAATGTTAACCTCAATCATACCCTTTCACTTTCTAAATATTAAACCGTAAACTCTAATCACTAAACTCTTGCCCAAAGATACTCTAAACCGAAATATAAACACAATAACCAAATAAAATAGAACAAAATAAATAACACAGTACATATTATGTAATATCTATGATTACATGGAAAAGGTTAATTTTGGCCCTAACTATACACTTTCACCTTCTAAACACTAAACCCTAAACTCCAATCACTAAACCCTAACCCAAATATGAACCCTAAACCCAAATATCAAAATTTAAAAATATATAATATTATATAATATTAAATTATATATTATAACTAATCACTAAACCCTAAAAGAAAATATAACCCTTAACTCAAATTTCAAACTATGCAAATAGTACATGATATGAATCATTATTAAAATATAAACGTCTAAACCAAATAGAATAGAACAAAATAAATATTGATGAAATTGTGAAAGACTATGATTATATGAAGAAGTTAATGTTGACCACAATCTCAATCCTCGCCTTCCAAATATTAAAATCCTAAACTATAATCAATTGATTCTAAACCCAAATATAAATTTTAAATTCAAAAAAATATCTTAACCCCAAATAGAATAGAAAATTAAAAAGAAAATGAATAAGAATCAGTACTATAATAAAAGTAGCAAATACTCAACTGTGGTGTTGCCACGTAGGATCAAATAATCAGAAAACGAATTGGACTTTATGTTTTGTTTTAAACAAATTTGTTGGCCTACTAAGCCCATTTAGCCCAAAGGTTAGCATGACTAAACCTAATTTCCCATATACGCCGTAATCTGTTCCTCTTTCTTCTTCATAGCCATTGTAGAATTTGGCGATTGGATTTCTCAACTGAAACACTTTAATCGCCACCCACCCCCATTAATCCATCTCTGTGCCATGAACTCTCCTTTAATCGCATCGTTTTGCCTTCCTCCAATCCTCTTTTATGGATTCGTTTTCCTTTCCTCTATCTCATTGTATTTATATCGAATCCTTTTCCAAATCTTTCCATACTCACAAAAAACTCACACGCGATGAACTCCAACAGCAACACCTTTGTTTCCGGCGATCTTACCTCCACGAAGTTGATCAACTCCGCCGGCGATCCTGTAAACCGTACGTCTGAAACCGGTGATTCCTCCGCCGTAGCTATCCCTAAAAGAGGCATAACTCGTGTCTCCCCAGTGAACGCCGTCGCCGGTGCAGCAAGGTACACGAAACATCATGGCAAGGCCGTTGTCTCATCCGAAAAGTCTGATGCAGTTTTGTCATTCAGAGATGTGGGTCTCGGACCACACGAAGCTGAATTGAGGTTTCGTCTGATACATTTTTGGGAGGCTCGGAATCCACTCACAAAGACGCTTATTGGTCTTGAAATGCTGCTCATCGACGAGCAGGTCTGTATCGGAATATTTTTTTTTGTTTCCTTTTTTTGTTTTTGTTTTTTTGTTTTTTTTATTTGTCGTATGATTGACATTAACAGAGGTTGTTCCGGTGTAATGAACAGGGTATTGTCATCCAGGGGTTTATTCCACCAGCGAGGATTGACACCTATCTCCCACACTTGAAAGCTGGTTCCATATACCGACTCACCAACTTCTACGGGTCTAAGAGCAAGGTTGTGTACCGGGTTGCTGAACCAAACGTGACTGTAACTTTCTCTTGGAACTCCGTCCTCTCTGCTTCAGCTGACAGTTCGGTTGGGTTTCCTGAGGATCGGTTCCGATTCTATGGGTACAAGGAATTTGATGAGGCCTGTGACCGTAAAGGAGATCTTTATGGTAAGCTCTCTGACTATATAATTTCATGAAACTGTTTGGTTGTGATTATGTTATGGAAACATTGGTTGGTTCTGTCTAATCTTTGTGATTTCGGCTGTTAGTGTAGAGAGTATTAAATTTGGTAGTTTGGAACTGATGCTTTCAGATTTGATCTTGACCCTAGAAGATATCTTTGTTCAGTTTCGTTTTCAATGTTTTAAGCGTGTAATATTGCGTTGGCAATATTGGTTGGTTATGTCTGATCTTTGTGATTACTATATTAAATTTGGTAGTTTAATACCGATGCTTTTTGTTTGTTTGGTTTTCAACGTTTTAAGACTGTATCATTCCTTCGCCTTGGATGATCTCATGTTTCTATCTTAGATGTTTGGCTGTAACATTGTTTTGGCTTGTGGTTTTTTTTTTTTTAATATCCTGAGTATCAGAAATAGTAATTTATATATTTGATTTCTGTGTTGGTTTGACTACCTTTTTTTTTTTTAATATTTTGGTTGCCTCTAATAAGCTCATAAGTCTGCAAACTGTTTTTTTTTTTTTGTTTATTCTTTGTTTTAATTGTTTAGCTTAGGTTGGCTTATATGATCTTATGTTTCAGACTTAGTTCCATATGCTTGATTTCTGGTTTCCGTTGTGTTAATTATAGATTATCAACATCTTTATTTTAGAAATTTGATTCCTGGTCTGGTTTTTACTTGAATTTTTGATAACTGTGGTCGACTCGGTCCCCCTTACAATTCTGAATACTGCTTTCTTCAGTTCGATTATTTCTATATTGTATTGTGCTGTGGAATTCTAACGTGGGGTGATTTCCGAACTTGCAGATTATGTTGGTCATATGAAGTTGGTTAATGAGCATCCTGTGAATGATAGTCTTGTGCTTGATGAGGCGGAGTTAGCTTCCTCACCTCGGATTCTGCTCCATGTTCAGACACATGAGTGAGTTTTTTTTCTATGAACTTCAATGTAATACATGTGATTATACTTATCGCTAAGTTTGATATTGTTGCAGAGGTCCTCTGATGAAACTCTATCTATGGGACAAGGTTGCTTCGGAGTTCTGTGAGAAATTCAGAGCTCACGGAAACACTCCAAGGGTTATTCTGGTGACTACTGTGAACCCGAAACGATTTGGAGGTCAGTCTTACCAAATATTATTTTCCTGGATTATTGAGCTTGGTATGACGCGTGGAAAACGTTATTTATATAGTTTAGCTCTTAAGTAAGTTCAATTTGTCCTTCCCTGATGTAGTAATAAGTCTTCCTCGATTGACACCATTTGTTATGTTGTAGGTGCATTATCTCTCACCTCAGTAACATCTTCCCGTGTGTTTTTTGACTCCGACGTTGAACCAACCAGAGACTATCTAACTTGGTAGGTAACCCTTTGACTAATAATAAATTAATAACTGTCTAATCTATTTTCTCTGGGAATCTCCAACAGGTTTCACTCGAACCCTAATGTAGCTAACATGGTTGATGCCAAAGTTGTCACTAAGACTGAGACAGCTACTATTGGAGAACTATTCTCTTACGTGAAGCAGGAGGGAGCAAAGGTATAATCGTTGAGAAACATCAGATCTTCCATAAGATAGACTAAATTTTAATTTTAATTTTTTTCCACATCTTTTGGTAGGTTGCTTGGTTTGAGTGTACATCAACTATTGATGATGTTGTGCAAGGTACTGCATGGTATTATATTGGTTGCGGTGTATGCCATACTAAGGCAACCAAAGGGCCTACAACACTCATGTGTAAGAAATGTGGAAAAAATGAGATTGTTGGTGTTGCACAGTAAGTGGTTTAGTTTTAATATAATTCATATTTTTAGTGAAATGGTTTAAATGTGTTCCTGCGACAGGTATTTGTCGAAGATCTCTGTTTATGACAAGGAGGACCAGGCTAATTTTGTGCTCATTGGCGATGCTGGGTTTGAGTTGACTGGGAAAAAAGCATCAGAGTTGGTTGAGAGCTACTTTGAGGTACTTGCAAACCTATTGAACATACAAGTTTGGAAATATATTGTAAGATGTGTTTTTATTTATATTAGGCCAATGAAAGCATGGAAGATGATCACATTGTCCCCGTCCCTCAAGCTCTGATTGATACCATTGGGCAAACTCACAAGTTTGTTGTCAAGGTATCAACCCATAACTTGACCGGCAAGGTTCAATCTTTCACTGTTACCAAGGTACTGCGCCCTGAGCCTATAGAACCTGAAGGCAACTTGGATGAGGAAGCTGAAGATGACAAGGGGGCATCTGCAGATGCGAAGATGAAAAAGGGTTCTGATGTGGTTGAGTCAACAGAGGGCTAGCGTGGCTATTGTGGCTGAAATTTCTTATTTCTGTTTTTGGTTTTATTAAAGACTATGCTTTGTTGCTTTCCTTTCTAGACTCTGTTTTTCAGCATTTGAACTTTTTTGGTATTACTATCTTCTGGTTATACTTACTTTTTATTTATTTCAATCTATATCGTTTTGATAATATTTGTGTGTAAGTCTTTTAGTTTTTTAATGTGTTTTTAAGTCTGATGCATGAGTTCTGCTTATGAACCATCTATGATACGAGTAGTAGCATGTGATCAAGTTGCTGAAGGACAAACCCATGTATTTTGTTTTTATTTTTTTGCATGAGTTCTGCTTTTGAACCATATATGATACGAGTAGCATGTGATCAAGTTGCTGAAGAACAAAACCCTGTGTTTTGTTGACTTATATTTTGGGGTATGGGAAATTCTGTTTGTATTAGATTGAAGAAGATATAGGTGTATCCGAAGCTGGCTGGAGATTACATGTTTTTTTTGAATAAATCAAAACTCACAATCTAATCAAGACAAATGATTTTTATTTTAATAAAAAATCAGTCTAGAAATCTCAAAATCACGGTAAATCTTGATTTGAAAAGGAAAGAAGTATTATTCAGTAAAGAAATAAAACCACAGCATTTACTCTATTTGTCTATACCTCTTCGAAGTGAAGAAAAACCCTCCATCAAACCCCAAAACTCCCAAATACGCATATTCCTCTCACAACGGCGCAAGAAACTTAAACCTCACCACCCTCTAGAAACTGGGAAAGCTTAATCACAATGGTTACGCCACCCCCTGACCAACCAGTGGAATCAGTAGGTAAATATGTAAACCTCACTTCTCAACCTCCATAGACAACTAGGTTGATACTTTTTGTCCGTATCCGAATCATTTTTAACATTGTATTATTGCTACGATTCATTCTGCGTATGTAATTTTATACTCATTCTAGAAAGCATTAGTTATATTTATACAAAAAATATGTTTCACTACACATAAAAATACCAGTAATCGAAATGACCTCATGTAGCTATAGTTTATAGGCTCACGTTCATTATATCGTCACTTTGGTGGTTTTATTTTCACTATGGATTGTGCAAAATTGATAAGGAGTTTTTATTTAATGGACCTACTATATAGTAAATAGTTTTCGAGGTATAACTGAAATATAAAAACCTATAACAGAGTTAAATAGTTTGAGAATGACATAGAATTTAATATCGTTTTCTAATTTTAAAAAAATAAAAGCAAAATTTATATACCTAAAGTCACCTATATGAGAAATTAATATCATCAAAGCAAAATTTTCAAAACCACATGTCTCATTAAGACATTACATGAATTAGATAGGCCAACGCTATATATATTTTGCTGTTTATATCTTAATAGCTTATTTCTCAAAGTTTAATTAATTGCTTACCAGTCTTGAACACATTCCTATTAATCGAATATCATATTAATAATGATTATGAGTAAGATCGAATATCATATTAATAATGATTATGTGTAAGGTGTTCGAACATCAATAAAAATTACCTCAATCCAAGGAAGTACTCGGGCATAAATCTCTATAAGTAACATTATTGACCATTTCAGAATAAATTTATTAAAACAAGACAAAATCATAATGTATACACTATAGTTTGGTTATTGTATTCTTTTTTCAATCCATAAGATAAGTATTGTAATGATGTTATGAAAATTAGCCCGGGCGTAGCCCGGGAAAGACTCTAGTATGAATAAGAAAAGTACAAATGAAGATTATGAATATTAAAGGGCCATGAATTACTAAAAGTGACAAAGAAAAAGATGTGGATAATGAAGAGCCACGACTTACTTTTGATATGTTATAAATATTAATTTTTAGGGTTTATTTGCCAAATAGCTAGAAAAAAAGAAAGGTAGTTTTTAGAAGAGAGAAAAGAGAGAGATAAGAAGAAAGACGGAGAGAGAGAATGTGATTTTGACTACTTGGTCAATTATGAGTTTTTTTTGTGTCTATAGGGTCTTATTTCTCTAATTTTTAATATGCAGATTTCTCCGTTTTGGCTACTTGGCAAATTATGGGTTTTTTGTGTCTATGAGGTCTAATTTCTCTAATTTTTAATATGCATATTTCACTGGTTTGTGCAAGGTTATGTATTAGAGAAATTGGCTATCTAGCTAATTAGTGTTTTTTTCACTGCTATACAACCCAATTTCCCTAAAAAAAACTCTCTGGTTTTACCTATGAGTATTGGTTTTTCTTGTCTCCCACGCAATGATAGCCTCCTTGAGTATTCACACACATGTTTCTTTCTCCACAAGGTATGTCTTCGCATTCATTAATATCTGGATTTTCAAAGATGATGAAATTTTGAAATCTAGCTGATCTGTAAAACTCACAAGGAGAAAATAAAGAAGGAACATAAACTGACCTTGACATCCATCTGGGACATATGCGTTACCTTTGAAACCCCTAATGCAACCACAATGTGCATAAGTAATCTCAGAGATGGTGCTTTGGTCGCAAATACAATTCATTTGGGGTCCAACAGAGTAACTAGTTTGGCCGTAAACTGTTGTGTTGTTGCAGCGCAAGGAGCTTAGGAAAGAATGATTCTTTGTCTGGATTACCCAGCTTAAAGAAAACGTAGCATATTCCTTACTAAATAACTCTCGTGGCTTTGTCGCATTAGACAAAGTGTAGACTTCATCTGTAATGAAGGCGACTCTACAATGTTCTTGTCTTGTTGTTGAGTTTCCATCAATTCTGATACCAATAGCTTGTTGAGGGTCTTTAAGTAGATTAACCTCACAACATCCGTTACCATTACAGTCAGTTTCTTCTGGTCGGTTTCCTGTACATTCCTCCTGGTATCTATATGACAGTGTCTTGTTCGAGCACCCTGTTTTGTCGAGAAAAGGGATGTTGTTGTTGTTGCTGCTAGGCTGGTGGTCTTCGGTGGTATTGCAAGTCAACTCGCATCCCACCATGTTCGGCTTTATATGTGTCAGTGACACTTTGGCATTGCAACCAACTCCTATGAGAGTGTTTGAGTCATCAATGAAAAAAGGGGTACCCGTGAAGTTCATTATTGATTCTATGGACTCTTCTCCACCAGCGAGACATCCTGCAGATGTTATGGGTGTTTTCACACGAACTAAACCAAATGTTAGAGAATGAATTCCCTTACTTGATTCATAAGTAACAGAATTTTCTACAATCGGAAGATATATCTCCACAACTTCTTTGCCAATAGCAGAGAGGAAAGGGACCTGCTGCCTTCCTGAAGTGGTATTACGACACTGGATCTCGTAAGACTTCTCCAGGTAACAACCTTTTCCGATTCCAAAAGGGTATGGGATCTCGACACCTCCACAGTGACTTGCACAGGAAGCAACAAGATCTGCTGAATAAAGAATCAGAAGAAAAGGTAGCAACTTCAAGAAGATAGAGCAACTTGTATTCTCGTAGTTGATCATGTTTCTTTACTCTAAGCAAATCTGAGTTTTTTTTTTTTTCCTTTCTAGAGCGAGTAAGATAAATTTTTTTCTCAATTAGTGGTCTTGAACAATCCCATATTGCTTCCAATTATATGTCGGAAAGCATTTTACTTTTGGTTACTGTATGGTGTGTGGAATTTAAAGTGGTGATCATCTCCTTTTTAAAAAGAAAAAAATAATTAAAGTATTCCTGCAAATGTCACATTCATATCATGAACTAGCAAAATACAAAAAAATGACATCCAACATCGTCTATAACTTTTAAACTATATATTAAATAGATATATCATTAAAGCCCCAAAAACGTGTAACACATTCATCGTTTATGTCTCTCACTAGTCTAGTTTCTCCTTTATTTGTGCCACTACTCGAGCTGCTGCTATTTACCACTTTACTGGTTTCAATGATCTTGAAAAAATCTATGACCATAAAAACTTTTTTTTTTTTTTTTTTTTTTTGGTCAACTATGACCATAGAAACTAAAACTAAGAAACTGCAGTGAACTAAAACCAAGAAACTGCAGTTCATAGGCCATAAAATAACCATTGTTTACCACATTAGAATCATATTAGCAATTTGTAGCATAAACTTTTACATAAAAGAGTAAATTTATTGATATCACAGTTAATTAAACAATTTTCAAACATATATTACAAATACATAATCTGACCAAACACACATTAATACAAAAAAAATGGTGTCCTAAATCCTCACCGGAAACACAAACATTGCCTCAAACACTCTCTTAGAGCTGAAGATTCTAGTCTTTTCAACATTGCCTTCTTTTATGTTTAGTTCTTGTGGCAATAATAGTCCTCTCATAACTTTTGATTTTTGAAGAGCTTCTTCTTCCTCTTTGTGATCCTTCTCCTTATTATAAACATTCTCTTTTTTCTAAGTCAGTGTGAGGTATCAAGAGTCCGTTCTCTTTTGAAATCAGAAAGAATTGCTACGTGGAAAAAGGTTACGAGATCTAAGGTATTACAACCTTGGATTTCGTAACACCTCTCCAAATACCAACTCATTCTGGTTCAAAAGGGAATAGGATCTTGAAACCACCTCACTGATTTAGACAAAGGCATGAAGCAGCTTCACATGAAGAATAAAGGATCAGCAAAAAAATAGCAAATTCAAGAGAATCAAGAAAATGGATCAGTTTGTATTTCTCGTAGCTCATGTTTCTATACTCAAAGAAAATCTGAGTTCGTTCCTTAGCTAAGGCAGGTACTGAATAAATAGATTTGGAGACGAAGAGAGCTATCTAGAGGACTGGTCTTAATTATGGTCCCATCACTTATATGGCAGAAGGCCTTTTTTTCTTCTTGTGTACTACTTTTTCAAAGACAAGTATTAATGCTCTAATTACTGCTGCCCATGCAGATTCGCTGCAAAAGTCGCATTCATCATACTAGCAAAATGCACAAAACATCTAACACCGTCCATAAATTTTAAATTATGTTAATTTAACTTAAAATTATTATAATTTACGAGATTGTTTTGTCCTGTTGTATCAAAACAGACCAGAATCAAACTTCTAAGCAGCTTCGGCTGTTAGGCTGCTAACAATTCACATTTCACAGCATACCATTACTATACAAAAATCTAATGTCAAACACAAATTGTAATTACATAATCTCAACTACAAACATGCATAACTTCAAAAAGACACATGCATACTATATCATAGGGAAATGGGGGGTGGGAACTTATGCTCTTTTTTCACCGGTAAAGCTACGTGATTTCCATACTTAATTTAATTACCTAAACAAAAAATTAAAAATAATTTAACTTCAAAAAGATACAGGCATACTATAGCATATGCCTGGGCAAAAAGACTAGAACCGAAGAACCGAACTGAAGCCGAACCGAAATATCCGAAACCGAACCGAGACTCTCAAATATCCGAACAGTTCTTATATTTATATATCCAAAATAACCGAACCGGAACTGAACCGAGAACCGAAGGTATATCCGAATATATAAGAATATTAATTTTATATATACATATAACATAACTAAATATATGATTTTAATTTTAAAATTTATTAAAAGTATCCAAAAATAGTTTAAGATAACTAAATAATTATAAAGTATCCGAAATATCCAAAATTTATATCTCAATCGTTCTAATTATTTGATATTTTATCCTAAATAACCGATAATTTACCGAACTACCCGAACTCGAACCGAAACCAAATGAGAACCGAATTTTCTAGGTGTTTTTTGGTTCCTAGTTTTTACTATCCGAACCGAACTGAATCCAAAACTATCCAAACTAAACCGAAAATATGTCAAGTAGTAAATGGATTCTCTAACTCCGTACCCAAACTACCCGAAATCCGAAATACCCGAACCGATATCCGAAACGCCCGGCCTACTATAGCATAGGGAAATGACGGTGGTAACTTATGCTCTTTTTCACCGGTAAAGCTACGTGATTCCCATACTTAGATTTAATTACCGAAAAAAAAATCAAACAGACACACACACCCAGTGGGACTCGAACCCACAATCGCTTGATTAGAAGTCAAGCGCCTTATCCATTAGGCCATGGGTGCTTGTTGTTATCAACGTCAGCACTTATATTAATGAAAAAAATCTTCATAATGAAGTTCGTTAATTAGTTATGCCCTAATATTTATTTATCGTATGATTCGTATAATCTGTTATTCAAATAATGGCGACATCTTTCACTTCCCGCTTAAACTTAGACCTCGGCAACAAGCTAAAGAGATTGGTCTCTGAACAACTCCACGACGAAGCATTGAGACTATACAAACAAAAGATTCATCCTTTAGGCACTAATGGCTTCACATCGATTCTTCCTTCCGTCATCAAAGCTTCCTCTTTTCAACAAAAAGAGCCTTTTTTACTCAACGAACAGCTTCATACGCTTTGTCTCAAATCAGGAGCTGATCGTGACATTATTATCTCCAATTCCATAATCTCTATGTACGCGAAATTCTCCAACGCATTCTCTGCTCGCAAGGTGTTCGATGAAATGTCTAAAAGAGATACGGTTAGTTATTGCTCTGTTGTTAATTGTTATATACAAGATGGGTTGTTGTGTGAAGCGGTGGAGTTGGTAAAGGAGATGTATTTTGATGGGGTTGTTCTGAAGTCTGAGCTAGTTGCGTCTTTATTAGCTCTGTGTGCTCGTGTGGGAAGGAGTCGTAAGGTTGGGAGAATGCTTCACGCTCTTTCTCTCGTTGATGAGAGGATGCAAGGATCGGTTCTTTTATCGACGGCGTTGGTTGATATGCACTTGAAGTTTGGTGATTTTGCGACGGCGTTTTATGTGTTTGAACAAATGGAGGTGAAGAATGAGGTTTCGTGGACAGCTATGATCTCTGGTTGCGTTGCGAATCGTAGCTACGAGATGGGTGTTGGTTTGTTTTTGGAAATGCAGAGGGAAAACTTGAGGCCTAATCGTGTCACGGTGATGTCTGTTTTACCTGCTTGTGTGGAATTGGGTTGTGGTTTAGGGATGGTGAAGGAGATTCATGGGTTTTCGTTTCGTAGTGGGTTTGATTCCGAGGATCGGTTAAGAGCTGGTCTTGTGACTATGTATTGTAGATGTGGTAATGTACGTCTCGCTAGGTTAGTTTTTGAAGAAGCTAAAGTGAGAGATGTTGTGATGTGGAGTTCAATGATTGGTGGCTATGCAGAGGATGGAGACTGCAGAGAAGCTATGAATCTGTTCACTCAAATGAGAGAGGAAGGAAGTGAACCCAACTCGGTTACTCTGTTGGCTGTTGTCTCAGCTTGTAAGCATTCAGCATCACTGAGTTTTGCATCTAGAATCCATTCTTACATACTGAAACGTGGCTTCATGTCGAATATCTTATTGGGAAACGCCCTCATAGATATGTATGCAAAGTGTGGGAGTCTTGTCGCTGCGCGTAAAGTATTTTATCAACTAAATGAGAAAGATGTTGTGTCATGGAGCTCAATGATAAATGCATACGGTCTTCATGGTCAAGGTTCAGAAGCTTTAGAGATCTTTCAAGAGATGATAAAAAATGGAGAGAAAGCAGATGCAATGGCATTTCTTGCAGTGTTATCGGCTTGTAACCATGCTGGTTTGGTAGAAGAAGCTCAAACAATATTCACGGAAGCTGAAAAGAGTAACCGAATGTCACTCACGTTGGAGCACTATGCTTGCTATATAAATCTTCTTGGCAGGTCTGGTAAGATCGACGATGCCGTCCAGGCTGTTAAAAATATGCCTATGAAACCAAGTGCAAGAATATGGAGTTCTCTGTTATCTGCTTGCGAGATTCATGACAAGTGTGATGTTGCACGTGAGATCATTGCAAGTGAGTTAATGAAATCTGAACCTGACAATCCAGCTAATTACGTGTTGCTGAGCAAGATTAACACGGAATCTGGTAATTGCTATGGTGCAGAAGAAGTGAGGAGAGTTATGCAGAGACGAGGATTGAGCAAATGCTACGGATTCAGTAAAGTTGAATCCTGAATCACAGACTGTAGATAACCAAACATAAGCCATCATACCATAACATAAGTCAGAAGCAGAGATTGTAGAAGCTGAAAAGTAAGGGTATCAAAGGCAGAGAGAACATTTGTGTTGAACCAAGACAGATGTTCTAAAGTTATGAGATCATTTCAGTCTGCAGCATAGCTTGTTACATGTGTTGTTGAATGTAATATTGGAAGGTGTTCAGAGGTGGCTAACAACGTCTCTAGATCAAAATATACTGTAAGACTATACAAAAATGCATTGTGTATCTGCTTAATGATCTCATCAAAATATAGTTACAAACAAAACAATGATTTTACATCATTGTAGACCAAGTCATGTACATATGCTACATAGATCTAACAGTACATGGTATGCAATGATTAAAGGGTACTACACTAGCTAGCATTTACTTTTTCACTAGGTTAGGTTAGCATATTTACCATTACTAAACCAGACTTCTGAAAGCAGATCAGTTATTAGATTCCTTCGCAGTAAAAAGTTATATCTGTCACGACCAGTCTGCAAATGATATTTTATTGATATAGAACCATCATTTATTTAATTGTGTCATTAGTTTACAACACCATTTGCTATGGTAATAACTTTATGGTCAATTCTGAAGCTGACAAATTCCAAAGCACACAGATAAGTGTCAGAAACTAAAAGCAGAGTTGTCCAAACGAGAAATGTTTCCTTTGTTTTTCTATTGTACTTAAAAAGAATGAGACAAGAAAATGTAAAGTGAAATCGAGACAAAAAGAAAAATAAACAGTACAACTAGTAGTAGTAATTAAAGATGATTTATTTAGGAAGATGTGAAGAAGGGGCCAAGAGAAGAAAAAAAAATGAGAGGAATGTCTGGGTCTCTGACAGCAATTCTATTAAAGGCCATCACTTGCAGCCTTTGACCAAATCCTAGCCCTTGCATTCTTATGTGTAACTCCAGTTTCAAGACGCAAGACATGTGTATATTTTGCTAAAAACTAAGTAAGAAAACAAATAAAAGTGATCATTGTAAAGGGCCAAGTATAAACTCACAAATGACATAAATTAAACATGACTGATTATGTTAGTATTAAGTCCATTGTATAATTTCAATACTAAATAAAACGTGGGAAAATGGAATTGCTTTAATTATGATCTTCATTTTCGTTTTTACTTGAAAATAAATAAAATGAAAGTATAGATGAGGACACTAAAATGTTGATATTTTTTATCATAATTTATCAAGTACTAAAGTAATTTTTATTTTTAATATATTCGTTTGGCTTAGCTCATCACACATGGACATTCAGTTCTCTTTTTTTGACCAATGAACCTCCAAACTTGTACCTAAACAAAAGTTTTAAAGCTTATACAAAATTTAAGTTACATAAAATAGGACTTCTTTCTAATTAAAAAGGTTTATATTAGCCCACCAGAATTATAAAACTATGCACGAGTTTCAAAAACTGTGTCTGATAACTTTATAATGAATGTCTCTCATAGACTAATTAGTTAAATCCTAAATTTGCATAAATAACAATTATTCTAACAAAACCCTTTATAAAAACGAAGAGGTGTTATATAAGAAGTTGGTTTCATATACTATTAAACAGCTCATCTCTTCTTTGCCCCGCCAAGATCGGATCCCCTCCTCTCCACCACCACCTTCTCTCCATTTTCTTGCCTCCACTAGAAAAAAAAAACAAAACCAAAACAATTTTTTTTTTTAATTCTTTTCTTAGACAGAGAGAGAGAAGAGAGATTTTGGGTTTGTGTTTTTTCTCCTTTCTCTTCATTGAAAGTTCTCATCTATTTCTATTTTTGCTCAAATGGGTAATGTGACATCAAACGTGGCGGCCAAGTTTGCTTTCTTCCCTCCAGAGCCTCCAACGTACGGTGTAACGACGGACGAAGAGACAGGGAAGCTGGTCTTGTCCAGAGTCTCGGCCGACAAGAACGTGGAAGTCCATCAACTCATCACAAAGTCTGGTAACAAAGTCGTTGCCACGTTCTGGAGACACCCTTTTGCGAGATTCACGATTCTTTATTCTCATGGTAACGCGGCTGATCTTGGTCAAATGGTTGAGCTTTTCATCGAGCTACGTGCTCATCTCCGCGTCAACATCATGAGGTAATAACGATACATCACAAATCTTAAAAAACTTTTAATGGGGTTTTTGTTGTTAGATTCTTACATTTAAACTTGTAGTTTTTTTTTATGTTGTTGTCTGAAACAGTTATGACTATTCAGGATATGGAGCTTCAACAGGAAAGGTAAAACCAATGTTCTAAAAATCTGTCTATGCAGCAAAAACTGGTCATAGTCCAGATGGTTTTCTTAAAATCCGATTTATACAACTCAAATCGATTTAAACTAGTTTAAATTGATCTAAATTTGTTAAATTAAGCAATAATGTTGATACAAATCTACAAATTTGTTCAGTTTTTTGTTTTGTATCTATAATTTTATAATTCATCAGAATAAATTTATACTTAAACTCAAAAACTAAAATAATGTGATTTACATATGTTTGTTTTTCTGATTTAAACTAGTTAAAATTGGTATAAATCGATCTAAATTTGTTAAATTAAGCAATAATGTTGATCCAAATCCACAATTTTGTTTAGTTTTTTAATTGTATATGTAATTTTTTATTTCATGAGAATAAATTTATACTTGAAAACTAAAATATTGTGATTTACATATTGTTCTTTGTTGGTATAGCCATCTGAGTTCAACACATATTATGACATTGAGGCAGTGTACAACTGCTTGAGAAGCGATTATGGGATCAAACAAGAGGAGATGATTCTGTACGGACAGTCTGTAGGAAGTGGGCCAACGCTGCACATGGCTTCAAGGTTGAAGAGGCTGAGAGGAGTTGTTCTCCACAGCGCCATTCTCTCTGGCATTAGAGTCTTGTATCCTGTCAAAATGACACTCTGGTTCGATATCTACAAAGTAAGTATAAATACAACAAAGGATGTGTATATATACTCCTGTCATGTCTCATCTCTTTGTTTTTAATGTCTTAATCTGCAGAACATAGACAAGATTCGCCATGTCAGCTCCCAAGTTCTTGTCATACATGTATGTAAAAGCTAATATGTCTTCATTTCATTATGTTTTTACATGCTGATTGAGTTTTTGGCTGACTTGCAGGGAACAAAGGATGAGATTGTGGATTTTTCTCATGGAAAGAGATTGTGGGAGCTGGCTAAGGAGAAGTATGATCCGTTATGGGTGAAAGGAGGAGGGCATTGCAACCTTGAGACTTACCCTGAGTACATCAAGCACCTGCGCAAGTACATAAACGCAATGGAGAAACTCTCTCTAAACAATCCACCACCTAAAGAGCTAACTAATGAGCCTAGTATCACTGAGACTAAGCACAACCGGTGCTTGAGATTTAAGAAAAGGTAGGGTGAGGTTAGTAGCAGAGTTGCAGAAGACAAATGTAGCAGAACACTCAGGAAATGCTTGTGTAGAGTCATTTCCTCAGTGTGATACGAGTCAACACAAGACACAGGGTCACAGAGAATGTGGGAAGGGAGATCATCTAGAGAAGTGTGTGTTTACTGTAAAATGTAGCCTTGTCCTTAGGTATTTGCACGATGTTGAAGCTCTTGTAAGAAAAAGAAAAAAATGTAATGTAGCATCAAGTTTGAGGTTTGAGGCAAACACTATTACTTGTAGGAGAAGCTAACACAGAAAAGATGTACTCAGCATGTTCCTTAGCGAGACAAAAAAAGGACACTACGAAAGCCAGGTTTTGTCTTCATCGCATAGATGAAATTGGTTCTATGCAAATCTCAAAACGCTGTGTAATGCCGCTTTACATTAAGAGATATTCTAGACGGACTGGGTTAATTGTGCAAATTTAAGGCCCCATTAGAAGAAGGAGCTAAAATTTCTACGATACAGAACCGGTTAATGAAACGCAAAGTTTAACAGGTTTGACACGTGGCGTCCGTTCATGACTCAACTTTCCTAGCTGGTGCTAACGTGGAAGGGTTTAGAAGGAAGAAAACATGAATTTAGATAGATAGATAGATTGATTGATTGATAGATATATTAAGAAACTAAACAACAACAAAAATCATATTGAAACTAAAATATTTGGAGCTAAACATGAAGACTATATTTATCTTCTACAATATGATAAAACGAAATATATAAAGGGTCCCATATATACAAGCTCCAAAAATATTTACGTTTTCAAATAAAATATTATTTTTATACTGAAAATCAACATTTGAAATATCAAATACTAATATTGTTTTTCATCAGCAATAATCGTCATTTTGTTTGCCTTTCATATAGTTTTTTTTAAATGTTTAGTTTAATTTAGATTGAAAGACGAGGACGAAGAACACATAAAGTAACTTAATACGATAACTTTTTTTTATTCACTTAGCACAGTAAAAGAGTAAATCTTTACACAATTGCTAAAACGTGGAAATCACTAAAAAAACGCAGCGATAAGTGAAATTAATTTAGGAAGATAAATAGAAACATCGGTAATAGAATGACAAGTGGTGGTGGTGGTTGTCATGTCTGTCAAATAAATTTTAGATCTTGTTGAAAAAAAATTAAGGATAGATTTATGATTTAATGAAAACTTTATAAAAGTTAATAACTATGTTTGATGTTTCTTTATAAATTATAAGTTCTAATCTAATAATATATCTAATTTTTTTTTAAAAAAAAATATCATAATTTATTTATATATTCTTAAAAATTCTTAATTTTCCTTATTTTTTCCTTATTTTTATATTTTTATATTTGGGATCCTATTCGACCGTTCCACTTACACATGCTATTTAGACGGCCCTGGTGGTGGTGGAGCTGGAAGTGCGAGAAGAGGGAATAGGATGTAGTCGGCATATGGATGTTGTGGGAGCATGTATTGGTGTTCGGTATTGAATATCCGAGCAACGTTTTCGAGGTTTGGAGCTGTCGTTGTGTTGTTCTTTAGCTTCAAACTGTGCTCAAGCAACACCATGAGAACAGAAAAAAAATGGTTAAGCCGATTTTGACCCAAGGGCTTTTTCCCAACATCTCCATGGCGAAGGCTATCGAAACAGAGATAATACCATCGATTGCTCCAAAGTCGTTGAGCTTCCTTAGCAGCTTCCGATGGTGGGTAGCCAGTCGGCTAGATGGGACTTACTTTCGGCGAGTACGGCGAGGTTCTTTACCATCTCCACCATAACCCACTGGAGAATGGGGCGTAGATACAGCAGCATTTTCGCTTGGATACTTGCGGTAGAGTTTATCTACCTCTAAGCAAAGGGAGTCCAATTTTTTCAAAGGGGTAACGAAAACCTTTGCAACTTTTTTCGTTTTTTATTTTATTTTGCGAATTGGAAGATCATGAGCCAAGTAATTGTATAGAAAGAAAGTTTACATCGGTTGTTAGATTACATTTAATAATTTATTATGCTCGAACTAACTATTTCCTTTTGCTGCATAAATTTTACATAGTTTGTTACAATATTATTACATATATTCTTATGCTGAACTACCTATTTCCTCTACGATATATTTATGATTTAATGAACTTTAAAAAAAAAATAACTAGGTTTGATGTTTCTTTAAAAATTATAAGTTATAATCTATACTATTATTTAAGAAGTAAATTTGCTTAGTTGTCATGTTCTCCATAATTTTAGGTAATTTTGTTTATTTATCATATTTTTAATATTTATATATATATATTATTTATAAATAAAACGAATTTATATGAATATATTATATTTTTAGTAAATAAGATAATTCTTGTGAATTATGTTGTTATCTTGAAATATATTTTTATATATAAAACTTAAATTTTAAATTAATATATAAACACTATTATATTTATCTAAAACGAATCTATATTAATAATTTAATATTTAAATATAATTAAAAAGAATTTATAATAATAATTTAATATTTTTATAAAATAAGATAATCATTATGGATTATGTTGTTATGTTGAAAATATATTTTCCTAATATAAAACTTAAAATTAAGATAAAAGTATATTATTATTAATTAAATATAAATCATAATTAAATATAAATCATCAAAACAATTATTTAAAAAGTGAATTTGTTGATTTGTCTCATTGATCCTAGGTAATTTTGATCATTTCTCAGATTTTCTATAATTTTTTATTATTGATTATATAATTAAAACTAATTTATATTAATAATATGATATTTTAGAAAATAAGTTAATTCTAATGTATTATGCTGTTATCTTGAAAAAAATATTTTTCTATTATAAAATTTAAAATTAACATGTAAAAAATCTATAAATACTATTTAAGAAGTGAATTTGATGTTTGCTGATTTGTCATATTTTCCATGATTTTAGGTAATTTTGATAATTTATCAATTTATATAATTTATTTTATATTTAAAACAAATTTATATTAGTATCAGATTCTTAGAATATAAAATACTTCTTATTTATTAGTTTTCTGTCTTAAAATATATTTTTCTATTATAAATTTAAAATTAAGATATAAAAAGTTGTAATTATTCTATAATTGAAATAAATTTACACTAATAATATTATACTTTTGGAGAATATGGTAATTCTTATGTATTATGTTGTTATCTTGAAAATATATTTTTATATTATATAATTTAAAAGTAAAATAGAAAAACTTATCTATTATTAATTAAATATAAATCATCACTCAAGAAAAACTATTTAAGAAGTGAATTTGCTAATTCATTAAGTTCTCAATGATTTTAGGTAATTTTAATTATATGTCATAATTTTTATAATCTTATATAATTATTATATAGTTAAAAAAATATCATATTATATTTTCAGAAAATAAATAACTTGTGCATTATATTGTTATCTTGAAAATATGTTTTTCTAATATAAAATTTAAAATTAAGATATAGATATTATAATTAAATATAAATCAAGAAAAATAGTTATAGAAATATATTCTTTTAAATATTTCTGATGTTTGATTTTTGTTATTGATAATTATTTGATGTTTGATTATTACTTTTTGAAAACATAAATAATAACACTATGCTGATTTTTAAATTAATGAAACATCAACTAATAAATATTTATAAGAGAATTATGCCCGCAAGCGGGCAAAACACCTAGTTTAGTAATATATCTAATATTTTTTTTTAAAAATATCATAATTTATTTATATATTTCTTAAAAGTTCTTAATTTTTTCTTATTTTTTTTATTTTTATATTTGGGCCATGTTCGACCGCTTCCCTATTAGATGGCTCTCGTGGTGGTGGTGGTGGTGGAGCCACCAGTGCGAAAAGAGGGAAGGCGACGTAGTCAGCATATGGATGGTATGGGAGCCTATATTGGTGTCCGGTATTGAATATCCAGGCGACGAATGGGACAATGGTGGATAGTCCATGCCACAAGTTATAGTAATCGTATTGGTTATAAGAGACAAAAGTCAAACCGTTCTGAAGAATGGCATTGGTAGGAAGAGCTTCAGGCCAAGCCAACGCGTAGTAGTTCCATGAACCATCAACCCCTTTCAAGCATAGAAGCCTTCCTTTGGAAGATTCTGAAGGAAACTATATTGGTACTGAGCTTCGTCTTTGGTTTGGTTATCAAAGAGAGAGAGAGCTCATGAACCAAGTGTGACCTTCAAGTGAGAAGCGATAGTCCTTGAGTGGAAGGAATGTCACTGATTCATCACGTAGCTTTTCCACCAAGTAAGCCGTCTTGTTGTCTGATGTTTGTGATCATGTTGGTGTTTCAGATTATTAAAGAGAAAAAGGGAGTGTTGAGCGATTTGAAGTGAACAGATTTGGACAAGAACACAAATAGTGTCAACGAGACACAAGTAAGACTTCAGGGAGAATAATTAAGCAAGTAACTAGCATTCGCCAAACACTATATAGGTTTAGTCGTCATTGTGATTTGTGAGTTAGGACTGAAACACATAGGGTGAAGCAGAGCAATATATGGTCAATCAAACGTTACCTGCACGGTGCCATTAATGTTCGTGACAGATCTTGGATCAACCAAGTACCAACACATGCTTTACGTTTTTCTTTTCTAGTTTTACAATTTTTAATTTTCCCGGTTGGTTTACATTGTACAAGAAGCTTTTTTAATCCAAAAGATATTTTTACTTAGATGCATACATTTGTTTACTCGAAATATTCATACATATAAGCGTTAGTTTCCACTTTCCAGTGTTCACAGTCATTGATTATACTTGTCGGTCGAAGATTATTTTAAAAAGATTGCAGATTATAATATTAATATAATTATATACTAGCGCGGGTGTTTGTTTTCATTTATAATAGTTATATAAACATTTTGTTTTCACTTGTAAATTGATATATATTATAATAATCACATATTTATGATATGTAAGTAAATTTTTAGCAAACATAATAATATTATATAATACGTGTTTTAATCAAATAAATTGTTTCAAATTTCTATATTATACATTTTTTTCAAACATGTGTTTGTTTCTTCTTCTTCTTCTATATTTTATTGTTTGTTACATTAGTATTTCATTTTTAGATAAAATAATATAAATAGAGCTTGATTAA